TAAGGAATTATTACTAAAAGTATTAACATAAAAATAATTATTAGTAGAATATTATAACTATCTAGATGAAATACTTACATCGCTATAAGTCTGCTATAACAATGTGTATGCGCNAACAGTGGTACCATATAATAATAATAATCGTATGTACGGTATTAATTCTTTAATTAATGCGCTATTACAATTTTTTTAACAACAACATATCGCTGCAATAACGGTATATTACCAACCATGATATATTACCGACCATGGTACATTACCGACCATGGTATATGTTCAAGGCTGGTAACTTACCGACTACTGTAATAAAGTAAAACTGAAAAAGAAAAAGAAAAGAAAACTCGATACAATAAGTACTTAAACATCTAAGTCCACGGATGTGACAATACAACTCTTTTCTCTCTCTCCCTTTCGCTCTCTCTCTTTTTATAGCGCTTGAGGGGATTTCTTTTCAAAGCACTTTACAAATAAAGCAGTATCTGTCTGTCTGTCCGTCTGTCTGTCTGTCTGTCTGTCTATTTATCTTTTTTTTTTTAATGAAGGAAAATGCGTTATGCATCTCTGCCTCGTGGGGATTTGGGCGGGGAGTGTAGGACTCGCACCCACTAAAACTCCTCAATGACCTCTACCGGACTTAGTGGGAGAGTCTGTGGCAGCATGTTTCTATAGTTAAGGTTTGTTTGAGAATAAGAGAGAAATATGGTATGATAGAAAATTTGGACAGTTTTATTTTGGTTTATATTCTGAAAATAAACTTACAATTCTCAGAAACGGGAAACAAATTAGTTACTTGTAAAAAAGGTGTGAACCGTGAAAAGTGTCTCTTTTAAAAAGTTTTGGTCCGTGCAAGTTAATGGAACTGAATAGGAAATTAAGTAACCTTTGCACGTCTCGTCAGAAGCTTTTTAGAAACCGTGCTTGGCAACAAACGATAACGATACTGTTATTTTTAGTACTTAGCAACGATAGAAAATGTTCAGCTTTGTTCATGAAATTCGCACTTTGTTTGGCGAGAGAACGCTCCGAACATTTGTGTTGCCCCTTTTTTTTAAACATTACCGCCCGCCTTCGTTGACGCAGGCGACGATTTTTCTTCTATGTACGGCTCAATTGGTAGAGGGCAAATCTTGACAATAGATCGTTTGATAACAGATGAGGCAGTCTTGGTCGAAACGACTCTGACTTCATTGTCATGGCCAGGGTATGTTTTGATTACACGACCTATTGGCCATGTAGAGGGAAGGTATCTCTCATCGATGATTAAAACCATGGTTCTGGGAAGAATAGGCAAAGAATGTCGGTTCCACTTGTCAATTGCTTACAGTCATTGCAAGTATTTGATCAGTTCGTACAGAAATTTTGTAACATTTGGTTTAATTATTGCCAACGAGATAATTTTGCAATCTTGACGGAAATAAGGTTTGGTTCTGGGACAAGTGTCAGAGATCGGCCGATAAGGAAATGACCTGGAGTCAAAACGTCTAAATCGTTGGGATCATTTGTAAGAGGGCACAAGGGTCTAGAGTTCAGAATAGCTTCTATTTTAGCTAAAAGAGTAGACATTTCTTTGTAAGTGAATTGCATAGTTCCTGCAGTACGTCTCAAATGGTATTTCATGGATTTCACGCCGGCTTCCCATTTTCCTCCAAAGTGTGGACCAGATGGTGGGTTGAATATCCATTTTGTCCCATCATTGTCAATTAAGGAAGCTAACTTCTGGAGTTTAATGGACGTTTTTGAAAAGAGTTTCATCAGTTGCAGTTTTGCTCCCTTAAAATTAGTTCTGCAATCGTTTGTAAGAGTAGCACAAATTCTTCTTCGAGCGGTAAATCGTTTATATGCGGCGAAGGACGCATCGGTAGAATAGTCTGTAACGATTTCAAGATGAATGGCTGAAGTGCTAAGACAAACAGAGCAATCCAAGATTTATATGAGCGAGCATTTCTGCCTTTCCAGGACTTAAGAGTGTAAGGACCGGCGTAGTCTAAACCAGAATGAAGAAAAACACAAGAAGGATTTACTCAAGAAGCAGGCAAATGTCCCATTATATGTTGTGCTTGAGTTCGGCGATAGCAAGCACATTTGACGCATTTAAGGATGAATAAACGAATCGGAGCTCTGCCTCCTAGAATCCAGTATGTGTTTCGAATGTAAGTCAAAGTGTTTTCAGTGGAACCATGTAAGGTTTGTTCATGTGCGTCCTGGATGGTCAAAGTGCTGAAAGATGAATGTTTTGAAATTATATAAGGATGTTTGGCTGAATGTTCGAGTGATGAGTTGGCTAATTGTCCTCTCACACGTACCTAGCTTTTATCATCTATGTACGGATATAATCGAATAAAGGAGTTTGAATTTGGTAAATCCGTCTTGTCCAGAAATAATTTGATTTCGTTGGCAAAGTAATTTTGTTGGATTCTTTGAATCCAGAATTTTTGAGCTTCCGTAATTTCTCCAGAAGTAATAGCAAACCTAAAAGAAGTTTTTGGAATTTGTTTCAGGCGTAGGATGACTCTTGCACAAGACAGTTATACGTAAAAGTCGTATAAGGGACGAACATTGCAAAATGAGATCCCAGACACGCTCAAGAAATTTGGACGATTGTAAGGTTGTAGCGCTTAAAGGGAAGCGCTCTTCTAAAAGTTGTTGATTCGAAGTTGAAATGTGATTCGGCCATTTTGATAGCCAAACAGGACCTTTCCACAAGAGTTGGAAGTCACGAAGGTGTGAAGCTGACAAACCTCTAGTGGCACAATCAGCTGGGTTGTTTCTTCCGGAAACGTGTATCCACCGAGTTTGAGGCAAAGTATCTTGAATAAAGCACACACGGTTTTGGATGAAATTCTTCCAACAAAAAGGGTGACTATTCAACCACGTGAGAACAATTGTAGAATATGTCCAAAGATAGCACACGGAATTTTGCAAGCTTAAGACTCGTAGAACCAGAGAAGTCAGTTTTGTAAGCATAACGGCAGCTGACAATTCAAGCCAAAGAATCGTCATGCGTTTTAAAGGTGCGACTTTTGTTTTTGAACAAAGAATGTACAAGCTCATTTCGTTGTTTAGTTTTCACATAGATAACAGCAGCAATACCTGATTGAGAAGCGTTGCAGAATCCATGTATTTCAGTAGTTTTCAACAAGTTTGTACTCATCCACCTTGAGATTTTAATAATCTCACCATCAACTATTGATTGAAGTATTTGTTGCCAAGTTTGCAATTGAGAACAAGGTAACACTTCGTCCCAAGATAATTTAATCGCCCATAATTTTTGTAAGAAAACTTTAGTCTTGATGATAATTGGAGAAAGGAGCCCGAGAGAATTAAAATATTGCGCAATGTGAGACAATACGATGCGTTTTGTTGTATGTGTAGGTGGAAATTTACTTAAATTAAATTGAAGAGTGTCTGAAGTAATTTTCCATAATAATCCTAGCGCGTGGATAATGTTATCATGAATAGACACTGAAGTTACAAGATTGTGATATGATTTTTCGATATAATCAAGCACTGAAGAATGGTTACTCGTCCATTTTCTTGAAGGAAAGCCGCTCGCCATGCAAAGTTGATAGACTTGTAGAGCTTGTTCTTGTGTTTTCTCAATTGAATCAGCTCCTCCATAATTATTGTCGACGTACCGAGCTTTCTTAATTATTTTATTTGCTAAAGGGAAATTATGATCTTTATCTTTGATTAACTGAAGAACAGTCTTGAGAGCTAGATAAGGCGCAAATGCGAGGCCTTATGTTACTGTTGATAGCTTGAACAAAATGAGCTTCTGATTATCTAATAAGATTTGTTGAAATTTTTGATCGTCGGGATGAACTTGAATTTATCTGTACATTTTCTCCACGTCACATAAATAGGTGTACTGATATTGGCAAAACCAAATAAGAACTTCAAAAATATTGGTTTGAAGTTTTGGACCAGTATGCAAATATTCATTTAGCATTAACCCGTCAACCACAGCACAAGAACCGTTGAAAACGACTTGTAGTTTAGTTGTACTACTTTCTCGAATGACACCGTGATGAGGAAGATAAAAACTCTGCTTTGGTTCGGACTCTTTGGTAGGAACTCTGATCATGTGTTGAAGGTTTTCATACTCAGAAAGAAAAGCGGAATAAGCTTGATAATACGTTTGATATTTTAAAAATTTCCGTTGGAGATGACTTAATATGCGCATTGCAGAGGGCTTTGAATTGCTTAATTGATCAGGTGATAATTTAAAGGGAAGACAAACTATGTATCTCCCGGTAGGATAGAGTGAGTAGAAGCAAAGTGTTCTTCGCAATCCTTTTCAATAGGAGACATTGTTGCGCTCTGAGAAGAAGAGATTTCTTCTCGGTACCAAAATTGTTCCATTAATTCGTAAAGGTCATGATCAGATGAGCAGTGATAAATCTGAAATTTTTGATTGGCGGAAGCAGCATTGATGGGACCTAAGACAATCCAATCTAATTTTGTTAATTGTGTCATTGGAGCATCTGAAGGTTCTATAATGATAGAACCCTCCAATAGATGTCCATATATCTCCGCGCCAATAATAATATCAATATTTCCTGGTTTGGAAAAATCTGGATCTGCGAGAGAAAGATTTTGCAGATGAGACCACGAAGCTAAAGCAAATGAAGTTGTTGGAAGAGAGGCAGTCAAAAAGAAAGAATGTATGCGGTGATTAAGATCTCTGAAGAAGAATCAAAGTGAGGCTTCAACAAAAGCATTACGAGACCTCTCGTTTTTCTTGAACTCTGTTTTCCGACTCCAAATAAACAAAGGTGAGAGACTTTCCGAGAGATTTGAAGCTGCTGAACCAATTTCTCTGTCACTAAGGACACTTCAGAACCTTGATCTAAGAGAGCTTGCGCTGGAAAAACTCTTTCATGTTGATCTACAACGTTGACCTTGGCGGTAGCTAAAAGCATGACTGAACTTGAATAAAAGCTTTCAGGCTGAATGTGATGAATGATGACGATTTTAGTTATTTCTGAAGATGGTCGTGACTGTGCCTTTGAAGACATTTTAGCTTCATCTGAGGATGGAGGTTTGTGTAAACTCGACTGATGGCGTTTATCACATTTATCCTCTTGAGGACGAGCGTCGACTATAATCAACGGCCGCCGAATGTGTCTGTACGGCCGAGCGTCGACTATAGTCGACAATTGCCGAAAGCATTCGATTGTTTACGTTCTTTAGTCTGAACACTTTGTTGTAAGTAGTTTTTGTATCAACTCTTGTGTCTGTTAATTTTTTAATTTAATACGTTTGCTTGCGGCTCGCGGCTAGTCAAGTGACGCGGCGGACAAGCACCGTACCAAAGAGGTTAATGCAGCGTTTTGTTGACTGACAATTTAAGGCTCGGTGATGTCCGAGGCAGTTATAACAAAGTCCTTTTGTAGAGACAAAGTCCAAGCGTTGTTTTGTATTCTTTTGTTGATATTTGAGGCATCGAGCTATATAATGCTCTTCTTTACAAAGTAAGCAAGATTTTTCAGGCTTTTTACCCGTCAACTTCGCGTTTGTTGAGAGAGATCTTGCGGCTTGATTACGAGGCTGGGAAGAGGTCTTAGAAATAGATTTTTTAAACGCTTGAAGAAACAACATACGTGTCATTAAAAACTCTCGGAATTGCTCTTAAGTAGAAGGTTTTTTAGATAATCTAAAATGTTCCCAGGCTTTAATAGATCCCGGATCTAACCGTTGGATCATCATGAATACAAGTATGTCATTCCAGGAATGAACCGGACGATGCAATGTTTCTAACAGTAGACTTGCATGATAGAAGTGTAAAGTTGTTTCATTTTGGCAACTGATTCTTTCGTCGTTTTTTTAATCGAGAGCAAGGATTGCAAAGCTGAATGGACTAAAAGTCAATCATTTTTATAAAAAGCTGAAAGAGAATGCCTTTTGAACATTTTCGGCAGTAAGAGCGGTGTTCTTTAAAAAGTGAGAAGCGGAACCAACAAGACTGGTCTTGAGATACTGAAGTTTCTCAACAGAAGAAATGCTGGCATTAAAAAGAACTAACAATGAAAATAAGTCTGTAAAAGGCAACTAATCAGACAAACATCTTTCGGTGAAAGATTCCCTGAGCTAGCACGTCTCACTTTTTGCAGGCTTTCGAAAGAGACAAGATTCTTCTGCGGAATAACATAAAAACACAGTTTCTTTGAAACTTTTCAAACAACTAGAGATCAAAAACGTCTTTTACAAGCTTCTTAACAAACGATAACGATACTGTTATTTTGCTTAGCAACGATAGAAAATATTTAGCTTTGTTTATGAAATTTGCACTTTTTTTGACGAGTGAACACTCTAAACATTCGTGCTGCCCCTTTTTTTAAACAAGGTTTAAATAGAAATTGATTTAATTTGTTTTTTTTCTTTCTGATTTATTCATATATAAGTTGTAAAACGTATTCAATTATTTAAATTGTCGTATTTATTTGATTTTTGTGTTACTTTGCAAACCTGTGCTATATTTATTTTTATATGCACATATTCTATATGTATGGTTACTTGTTAAATAACTAAAATCTGTCGCACAAATTATTGTACCGAACAACCTAATTGGACAAATCCGAAATAATACTTGCGGAATGATTGTTACAAACTTTACTTGACATTATATATATTAAACAGATCAAAACAATTATAAAACTTATACAATTGCAGATTTGCGCACACAGTCAATGAAGTATTTACCGTGATGATGTTTGTACAGTTTTCAATCAGCTCTCTTGTTCTCTGCATGAGTGTTTACAAAATATCTACAATGACATCACTGTTCACGCTCGATTTTGCGTATATCTCTTCTTACTTGTGCGCTATGCTTACACAAGTATTTCTTTATTGCTGGTACGGCAACGAAGTGACACTAAAGGTAAAAAAAATTTAATGACGTCTTTTCAATTGTTTTTTTACAGATCAAACATGGTTAAAAAAAACTATCAAGTGTGCACAAAGCACACAATGACTGATTGAAATATTATTAATCAAATTAACAGAGTAACAATAATTGCTGTAATTAATTTCTTTTAGAGCATCAAAGTCTGTAATGCAATTTACGAAATGAATTGGACAACACTAAGAGTTCGAATAATGAGAGATCTTACAATTATAATGTTGCGTGCTACCAGACCAATTAAAATGTCGAGTGGCTATGTGGTTACTTTAACTACGGAATCTTTTATGGACGTTAGTATACATTATATTATGATTAATATGATCGTAAATAATGACAATCAAAGTTAGTATAATCGTGAATAATGACAAAAAAGTTTTTACAGAGCAGATGGTTTAATTTATTTGATCTAATTTTTTTTACAGATTCTCAAAACATCTTACTCGGCGTACAATTTGTTGAAAGACTCTTAAACAATGAGATAGAAATGCTAAGCCAAACGCACAGATTAGATTATTTCACAAACTATATACATAAAGTTATCTACATTTAGATGTTATTCTCGAATAAATTCAAATAAATAAATGAATATATAGTTACTTTTCATTATAACTCTATATTATATTTTCTTATACAAAATATTTTATACAGTAATAGCCGTATAATTGTTCGTGAGCAGGTAGAATGAGTTATATTAAATTGAAAAATTTTTTATTATTTTCACGTTCCTTATTTCTATATAGGTAAAAAATAAGCTATTTTTTATATAGACTAGACACTAAAAATCGATCGATTTGGAGCAATTCTTTAGATTCTAGTTTATTTTTCAAATTCTCTAACATTGATGATTGCAAATTTGTTTAATTTGAAGTACTTCTAGGTTGTCCCTAGATTTTAATTTATATTACAAAATTCCCTAGGCATAAAAACCGCAACTTTGTACATTCTGGAGCAGTTTGTTTTTTCATAAATTTTAGTTTTTTTCCAAATTTTCCTAGGCACAGAAAATATAAAATTTGATTCTGCAGCATTTCTTGTTTTCCACCAAATTCTAGTTTTTTTCACAATTAACTAGACACCAAAATGGCAAAGAGTGATAGCAAAAAGATTTGTTTTTTGCCCATTTTTTGGACCTTTTAAACTTTTTGTATATCAAATACTATATAATGAAACATTAAGGGAATTTTAAAGTGAGTTGTAATTTCTTTCCGACTGAGTCGACTTTTGGTGTCAGTAATATTTGCTTAATATAAAAAGTTTTGCAGTTTATACATAGAAAATAAACTACATCCCGGATGCAAGATAACATTAAGATTAATATAGAGTTCTCAAAAATTAATGTAAAACCCAGACAGCATACAACATCTATTGGACAACGGCTAAATTTGGATCTTATTTAGTCCAAACGTCCATGAACATTGTATGTATGTTTTAAGAATGTACATTATTGGACGTACTAAATATATTTACATGTAGATGTTTCAGAAATGTTTATATTATAGCTGTTTTATTTTAATAAACAAGGTATTCAATATTTTTCAGTTTTGTAGAAATAAATCTCAATTAATTTGAGATAGCGCAGTGGTTGAGCATACAGGGTTAATGATTTTAATTCTTCGAGTTTTGTCGTGAACTCCTATTTTTTCTATTTTTTTAAATTTTATTATTATTGTACAATAATTTTTAATTCGTTTATATTTTAAAGTTACAATTATAATAAAAGTTAAATAAAAACAACATATAATTAGTAATTTTTTAACAGTGTTTTATTGTAATTAAAAAATTATGTAAAAATCAAAAATTAGTGCAAAATATTAGCAAATTTAAATTAAAATAGAAATAAAAACAAAAATCACGACAAGACTCGCGAACCCGCGTTGCAAAATTATCAATCTCATGCTGTACCGCTCACCACCAAAGTAATTAAAATTGAAATCTATAGGTGCATCCAGAAGCACGACCGCTCACTGAGCGGCAAAGTAGCAATCGACTGTGATTGACTTAGATTAAAATAAGAACCAATCACAGTCAATTGCTACATTGCCGCTCAGTGAGCGGTCGTGCTTCTGGATGCACCCTATAAAACTAAAAGAAATATCGCAATATGTGTATCAAAACTTTTTATTGAATATATTTTGAAGTCTTTAGTGTTGATCAAAATATAGATAAATTCTGTTTTAAATTTAACATTACTATAAAAATTAAAAGTAAAGGATTAGTAACTTAACCTAACCTAACCTTATGTAATTTGTTTTTTTAATGGTTGCGTTTAGCAGAACAAGTTGCTTAGCAATCAAACGTGACTGACTTTTACTTTTAGAACCAACAAATCAACGTCGAATGTTGATAAGACAATCTAGCAATTGTTCTACTAAACGCGGCTAATGTTTTTGCTCAATAACTCTTCGTGTATAAACGTATCCTCTTCAATGTGATTTATTATGGAAGCTTTGTTCTTCTTCTTTGCTTGAATGGCACGTTGCTCTTTTGCGAAAGGAGCAAAAGCCTATTATGGGAGCCGCGACTTTGATCTAGGAATTGTGTATTTCGAGACAAAGATATATATTCTATTTTAAAGTTAATAGAAAGTAAAGTCTATAAAGAGCCATCGCGGGATGTTGTGCGTGAAAATATGACTATATATATTCTAATGAATTTGCTTTTATCATTTTTGCTTTGTCTCATAATATATATTAATTTTTTTGCTATGTAAGTCTATTCCTTTCTTCTAGTTTATTCTAAAGAATGATATCTCTAATCATGTACTTGGCGGTGTTAAAAAACTCAGTATACTACTAAATATAGATTATAATTAAAGATACTCTTCTTTCATGTAATTAAAGTGATTGCTGAATGTCGTGATCCCATTCTCCCCTTAAGAAGGTACTGGAGCGAGATCCGAAGTCAGCACTGGGGTCTCTGGAAAGTGGCGCCCTTAATTGGTTGAGTTAGTCCGTCCTTCTTTTAAAGTGAGACGGCCTAATCGCGCTGTGTCTCGCGTCACCGATCTTTTATCGTACAGCTCGAGCCGGCCAGCACCAAGAGTACCGAAGTGGTGGGGATACACACACAAGCGAGAATCGTCGTCCGTGTGCGCTCGTGGAAAAGTGCAGACATACGAGGTGTGATCAAAAAGTAAGGTGACTTTTTGAATTTCGCGCGCTCTGTACACTCTAATTTCAAAATTTTGTTGTTGTTGTGTTGGTACACTCGTCACGATCATATGTTCACAGTTTTGACTATATAGCATGTGTTGTTTTTATGTGAGAGGCATAAAGGTTAGACTCGTGTTTGCGTGCTCGGCAATTTTTTGCTGTTGAAAATAATGGAGCAGAGAGTTTGTATTAATTTTTGTGTAAAAAATGGTATTAAGTGTTCAAAAACTCTTGAAATGTTGACAGTGGCTTACGGTGAGTCAACTTTGAGCAAAAAAATGTTTATAAATGGTATAAGGTATTCCAAGAGGACCGAGAAAATGTTAACGATGAACCTCGCTCTGGACGCCCCAGCACGTCAAAAATTGACAAAAATGTTCAGAAAGTGAAAGAAATTGTGTTGAAAAATCTTCGAATCACGATTAGAAAAGTAGCTGATGATCTTAACATATTGTTTGGCTCATGCCAATCAATTTTAACGGATGTTTTGGGTATGACACGTGTATCAGCGAAATTCGTTCCAAAACTGCTTAATTTTGATCACACGCACACGTCGTTACTAGTGAGTAGTTTTTTGGCCACAAACAATACTACCATCATGCCTCAGCTACCGTATTCACCAGACTTGGCCCCCTGCGACTTTTTCCTCTTCCCAAAATTGAAAAAGCCCATGAAAGAACAAAGATTTGCGACGAGGAGATTAAGGCTGCATCGCTAGAGGAGCTCAAGGCAATACCCAAAAGTGCATTTCAGAAGTGTTTTGACGATTGGACAAAGCGCTGGCACAAGTGCATTGTATCAGAGGGGGATTATTTTGAAGGGGATAACATAATTTTGGATAAATAAATGAATATTTTTTTATAAAAATGAAAAGTCACCTTATTTTTTGATCACACCTCGTACTATGTTCTGTCTTCTTTCCACTAAGCCGGGCTAAGGCAAGACACAAGGCACGTTCACGTAGCGCGCTTGTTGCGTATGACAGCGTGAAGTGCGTTTTCAAGATTTAGAGTCTTGGAAAAAATACATATTGTGGGGGGTTACCCCACTTTTTGTTATAAAAATTTTAGTATTTTTATTTTATTTTTATTCAAACATATATTTTTATTTAACAATTAAACATTTTTACAACTTTTTTCTTTAAAAGAAATAGAAGGAAGAGTTTTCGTAAATTTTAGTGGCCAATGTTCTTGCTCGGGAGATTCAGTCGCCAAGTAGTATTCCTCCGTCTGGGAAACTACGTTGTAACAATAAGCCTCGACCTGATTTCTTTTCGATGACGTCGGTGTCTCAGCTTGTGTTTCTCTCGACAAACTTGCTGCTGCGTATTGAGTCCCTCAGGTGATCCTTATGGTGACCGTCTGGGAACTCGTCGAGGAGAAGGATCGTATCGGCGAAATCCTCCGAAGCAAATCGAAGATTAATTCGCTCGTCGGAGACAGCGGTCGATAAGTCGTGGATCCCGATCGGCAAGGAGAATCCTATGCGGTCGAATCAGCTTTACCGGAGATACATCCAAGGGAGCGACTTTCCACAACTTAATATTACACAGAGCAAAGCAGAGCATTCGGCAGCTTTTCGCCATATTTTCCTCATTTTATAACTTTTTAAGAGAAATTTATCAGCGAGAAAATATGCCTTCTAATGGCAATTAATTAAAAGTTTGAATAACTTAAACTTGGTTTCTTGTAGCAATCTGTCAAAGCTCGAACTGTCAAAAATCGTCGTGCCGTGTAGGTTGGATCAAAGTGTCGTGGCGTGTAAGTTAGATCGCCACACATATATTTTTGATAATAATAAAATCTCAATAATAATATCTGGTACATATGCATAAAAACGGAGCACCCTCGGAGGTCATTGTCCTTGACATATGTTGTCAAGAACACCTCCCTGAACAACAATCTAAAGGTTTTAGCCGTCGCTCGTTGTTCATTAAAAAATTATAACCAAATGAAGTTGGGCGCAGTCCTTCTCTGCTTACACGTTTACAACACGAACAAAACGTACACGGTGTCGGAAAATAAGACTATTTATGATAATTCTTTTGTTTATAATTTTTTACCAACCAACAAGCGACGGATAAAATCTTCATATTGTTGTTCAAGAAGGTGTCCTTGACAACATATGTCAAGAACAATGACCTCCAAGGGTGCTCCGTTTTTATGCATATTTACCTTAACTCATATTACTACTTAAATCATATTTCTAATTACTACAAATATATAATGCATCTTGAGGTATCTTATTTTCAATAATATTATATTGGTGCGCTCACGGCAGCGTTTAATCGCGTCACCGCCGAGTTACTGCGCTCCACG